TAGACGTGGCGCGGTAGCTCACACCTGTTGTAATCCCAACACTTTGGGAGGCTGAGGCAGATCGATCACGAGGTTAAGAGATCGAGACCATTGTGGCCAACATGGTAAAACCCTATCTCTACTAAAAATACAAAAATTAGCTGGGTGTGGTGGTATGCCTGTAGTCCCAGCTACTCGGGAGGCAAAGGCAGGAGAATTGCATGAACCCAGGAGGTAGAGGTTGCAGTGAGACCTCTACTTAGATTGCACCACTGCACTCTAGCCTGGCAACAGAGTGAGACTCCATCTCAAAAAAAAAAAAAAAAAGAAAAAAATATATAAAGCTTTGTCTCAGAATTTTCTCAGACAGCATTTCTATAAGGTAGAAGTTTGTAACATTAAGAAGATGGTGCCTCTTTAGAAAGAGTCCCTTTGATTTCCTAAGAAGAAAAGGGTCTCTTAGGTTCCCTAAGGAGGAAAGCACACCAGAACAGCCACTTGACCAAGTTTTGTACTTGCCCCTGTGAAATAGTGATGGTAGCACAGTAATATTCTTCCTTCATCCATTCAAGAAATATTTCATCACTTTTGGGCCTGGCTTGGTGACTCACACCTGTATTCCCAGCACTTTGGAGGCTGAGGTGGGTAGATCACCTGAGGTCAGTTCAAGACCAGCCTGGCCTGGTGAAACCCCATCTCTACTAAAAATACAAAAAACTAGCTGGGCATGATGGTGTAATCCTAGCTACTCAAGAGGCTGAGGCAGGAGAATCACTTGAACCTGGGAGGCGGAGGTTGCAGTCAGCCAAGATCGCACCACTGCACTCCTGCCTGGGTGACAGAGTGAGACTCCATGTCCAAAAAAAAAAAAAAACAAATTTTTTTTTTAAATCACTTTAGGTAAATAATCCCACACTTTTTGCTTTTCAGATGTGTCTTTGTGTAGGGGTGTGGAGGGGTAAGGACTCTCAGTACTAACTGGTATCATGGGAAAGTCAGGAATAGGAACTGTTTTTTTTAAGGAATAGGAATATTTTAAGAGGCCATCCAGACAAACAGGCCAAACAAAAGGAGAGAATCACCCATTATTTAGAGGACACAGTAGGGAAGGAAGCTTGAGTTACCATATCATTAGAATAGCTTCTCCAGGAGAAACTGCCATCTGAAATAAAGTTTTGTTTATGACAAAACAAACAAAAAAAGAAGTGTGAATGACAGGACTTGTTTAGGGAAAGTGCCTCTTTCCCTGTTAGGCTCATCACTAGAAATTTAGCTGAGGGGCATTGTGCCGGCTGCGGCCGTGCTCTCTAACAAACAGAACAACCATAATGAGATGTTCAGCACTTCAGTGGAAGCATCTCTTCCTGCTATAGTTTAAAGCTATTCTTGGTTCACCAAAAGGCCAGAATGTCACAGGGATTAATGATATTTGATTGAACATCATCCACTCAGCAGTTTGCTTTTGGGATGGGCCTTATGTTCTTATGAGTAATTTTCTGGTACCAGGCACATAAGATTTTAAAAATATTATTATTATTATTATTATTATTATTTTGATATGGAGTCTTGCACTGTCGCCCAGGCTGGAGTGCAGTGGCGTGATCTTGGCTCACTGCAGTCTTTGCCTCCTGGGTTCAAGCGATTCTCCTCCCTCAGCCTCCCGAGTAGGTGGGATTACAGGCGTCTGCCACCACACCTGGCTAATTTTTGTAGTTTTTTTTAGTAGAGGTGGGGTTTTACCATTTTGGCTGGGCTGGTCTTGAGCTCCTGACTTCATGATCCACCTGCCCTGGTCTCCCAAAATGTTGGGATTATAGGCGTGAGCCACTGCGCCCAGCCAGAATTTTAAAATTTTAAATTTTTCCTATATATGATACCAGAGTTTTAATCAAATTTCTTTTTTTTTTTTTTAATTTAATTTTATTTTTTAAGACGAGGTTTCACCTTGTTGGTCAGGCTGGTTTCGAACTCCTGACCTCAGGTAATCCATCCGCCTTGGCTTCCCAAAGTGCTGGGATTACAGGCATGAGCCACCGTGCCCGGCCTTAATCAAATTTGATAAAGTATTAATGTGCACATAAGTGTGGTTTTTGTTTATAGCTTAACAAATTTTTTTCTGTCTCTAAGAAGACTACACTGTCATCTAGAAAGCTGATCAAAATTGAGATGAGGTCGATTTTTTTTTTCTTTTTAAAAGATGTAGCTAACATATATTTTCTAATATTATCCTCATGTATCCCTAAGAGGTTGATGTCATTATTATATCCATTTTTAAAGATGTGAAAATTAAGGCTTAAAAATGATAAGTAACTCTCAAGGTCACATACCTAGTAAGTAGTAGAGCTGGAGTTGAAATCCAGGCAATTTGGCTCCAAAGTCCATAGTTTTTCCCACTTTTTTTTTTTTTTTTTTGAGACAGAGTCTCACTATGTCACTCAGACTTGTAGTGCAGTGGTGTGATCAAGGCTTAGTACAGCCTTAACCTCTTAGGCTCAAGCTGTCCTCTTGCTTCATTCTCCTGAGTAGCTGGGACTATGGGCATATGCCACCGCACCCAGCTAATTTCTTAAATTTTTAGTAGAGATGTGGTCCCACTATGTTGCCCAGGCTAGTCTTGAACTCCTGAGCTCAAAACAGTCTTCCTACTTCAGCCTCCCAAAGTGTTGGTTGTACAGGCATGAGCTACTGTGGCCAGCCTTATACTTTTCTTACAATTAATTACCCCATATAGTATAATTACCTCTTATAAAAGTTGTTAATTTTGCCATGAGCTTTTTATTAGAAATTTATGGTTTGATCAACTTGATATGATTTCAAATGGTCACTAAAATGTATGCTTTTTACATTAAATAGGAGTGTAAATCTTTCTTTTATTCAGTTTTAATCCATGTTAACCTGTGATTATAAATCCTCATTGTATTATAGAACTTGACAAATGTCTGCTTGTTCTGAATATTAGACAAAGTATGAAAATCTGATTTTATTTCAGATCTTTTTATACCTCTGAAAGCAGGCTAGATTGGATAGTTTTCAAACATTTGCAATCATAGTAGTATTTTGTTTTTAAAAGAGTGTAATGATAAGTAATGATAAATATGAGTCTAACGATAAATAACGATAAAAATAAATAAGTTAATATTTGTTCATTGTGCCACCACTCCAAAGTGGGATATAGCATTGATCATGGCTATAGGTCTTTTGTTTTGTTTTAAGATGGTTGATTTATTGTTATAGCTAATGTATAGCCTGGACTTCCCAGTCTTGATTTAAAATAAATTGATGTCCTCTAAACTGTGAAAATGCTCTGGAAATTCACATTTTTAATACTTTCTGTTTTGCTGAGTGAGCATTGAAAATGGATGTTTGTGATATTCCTTTTGTTAGCAGTTAAATTCAGCCTTTATATATTTATTTCATTCAACAAATATTTACTGCCAGCTTACTGTGTGCCAGCCCAAAGGCTCCAGCAGTTGCTAGGAAGGAGTCTGCACGCCGTCACGATTCTTCCGTTAAAAAGAAGAAACACATGGCTCTCTCCTCTTATGATTCCATAGGTCTTTGCCTAAACCTAAGCGAGAGTAGTTATTACAACATGCTTGGTCTTGTCATTTTGTGTGTTTTGTATCTGTACCAGTTTGTAAGTTTCCTGGAAATAAGGACTATAACTTATTAAGGTTTGTTCTTTTCATGTCTTGAATGTTCGGCTTTATTTGTCCTAAATGTTCGGCTAATGCTGGCTCATTGTTAAAATAAGAGATTGAAGTATGAGTGAAAAGATCAGAACGTCTACTCCATGAGAACAGGGACTTCTGTGTTGTTTACTGCTATGTCCCAGGGCCTGGTACGTTGATGAATGAGCTCAAATAAACTGAGATTTAGACTTGGATTGAGTCTACCTAGGGACCGTCGTTGATGGCATTTATTTATTTAATATTTCATTTAGGAAGTTAGTAAGTGTTTCTGGAGCATTACCTTACATTACAGACTGTGTTTCGGCACTGGAGATACAAGCCTTAGACAAAACCAATCTTTGTGTCAGAAGACTAGATGTGTAAAGGAAAGGTGGATTTCTAATGAGTGACAGCCACAGTATGGGGAGGTAGATAGAGCAAGAGGATCTTTGTACCTGCTGTTTCTCTACATCATCTGCAAGTTGGAACTCAAAAACTAAGAGTAGATGGTGGGATAGAAGCCATAGCAGGAATGCCTGGGCTTCTTTGCAAGGTAGGAAGGGGTCCATGGTGCCAGACACTGCATAGGTTTAAAGGGATGCAGGATGAGAAAAGTTGATTCGCTTTGACAAGAGACAAGTCTGGTCCTAAAGGGAATATATAGATAAACCTGCATCTTTATTCAAATGCACTGAAAAACTAACATACTGTTACAGACTTATTTTCCTTAAAAAGCTCTTAAATTTTAGGCACTTTAAATGTTTTTTAGTAAAATTAGCACAGTCGAAAAACTTAAGAGATGCTAAAAAGAAAGAACATAATCGTATGACTTTAGGCTGCTTGAGACAAGAGTAAAAAGGGTTCTCCTGGCTGGGTTGGAGTCTTGGCTTCAAAACCTGCTGGCTCAGTGTGATGAACACCTTTACTTGATATTTCTGTGCCTCAGTTTCTTCATCTGTGAAATAGGGTGATGATAGCTCCTACATAAGATTAAATGAGAGAATACTTTCTCCATAGGATTAAGTAAGATAATGATTGCATGGAATGTCCTGAGCCCTGGGCCGGGCCAAACGTTGACTAAATGTTTGCTTTTTAGGGATATAGGATCCTATTCCTATCTTTGCCAAATCTGCCTTGCCTGCCTCCCTCTCCCAGAGTAGACAGAATGGGGGTTGGGATAGGGTGGGCTTGGATGAGAACAAATTCCTATGCCTACTGAAATGATGGAGTCTCAGTGCCCCTTTCCCGACTCTTCCGTGAGAGAAAGTCAATGCAAAGCTTGCCTTTGATTGATTTGTTTCCTGTCTGTTATTTGGTGCAGTTAACTAACTAAAATTGTTGTTGTTTTAGCTGCACGAAAGCGGTTATGATGCCGGCAAAGCCCTGCAGCGCCTGGTGAAGAAGCCCGTGCCCAAGCTCATCGAGAAGTGCTGGACCGAGGATGAAGTGGTGAGCAGGAACCAGCCTTTGCCTTTTGCTCTGGGGCATTGGGGCGCCGGCTTCTCAGTGTGTGACCTCCCTGCTACTCAGGGAAAGGGGCTGAAGCAGAAGCTTCAGTCATGCAGAATGGCTGTCCATGGCAGCGCTGGGCAGGAGGAAGAGACCCTTCAGCCTCGTAATTGTACAGCAAGATTTGATTTTAGTAAGATTAGGCTTCATAGATGATAGGAAGGATTGTTGAAGTTTCGTGGAAAGAAAGGAGAAATTGACAGTTACTCCAAAAAAAGGGTAATTTGAATTTGTTTTTGGTTTAAGCTAGCTTGTGATACCTCCCTATTTAGACACAGCATGTTAAAACCGGTAGACACATAACCTAAAGTAGGGTTGGTGACTTGTCCTTTTTTTAAAAATTGTTACTATTTTAGAGAAGGGGGATCTCGCTGTGTTGCTTAGGCTGGTTTTGAACTCCTGGGCTCTTTCAATCCTCTTGCCTCAGCTTTCTGAGTAGCTAGGACTGTGGGCATGCTCCACTGTGCCCGGCTTGATAACTTGTTTTTATAGGGCTTGTAGGATCCCCAACCTCCTGAAGGACATTGATTACAAGCGGGAAGCAGAGTTAATTAAATAAATATAATGGATTTTACATATTGATTCTATTGCTGTGCCTATTGAAGGAAGTAGGGAGAGAGGTGTGCCCACAGGTACAGCTTTGCAAACCCATGGATTCCCATCCAGCAGACAGCTCTAATGAAGTTACATCTCCATCTTGTGACTTATAAAAGGCATTGCTGTAAAAGACTTAAAGATTTCTTGTGCTTTTGCAAATACAGTCTTCAGTATGAATGTTACCGCTTGACATTTGCCTTTTAGGTTGAATGAAATTTAAATGAATGCTGGCACTAATACGCATATTGATTGCAAGTTCCTCTCCTGTATTTTAAAATATGCTAAGAGTGTTTAGAAATTGTATGTACGCTCCTGATCCCGCTCTTTCATTGATTCAGCAATATTTACTGAGTGCCTGCTATGCACCAGGTGTTGTGCTAGGAACTGTATCAAGGAGAACACCAGGTCCCTCCTTATGAGTCTTAAGTTTTAAGAGGGGAAAGCTTCATAAATGAGCGTGTGTCAGGGGTTGGTGAAGCAGATACAGAGTAGGGTAATGAGCGAGAATCAGCTGGGTGAGGTACCGTCTTATGTAAGGGAGGATCAGAAAAGTCACCTAAAAGTAATATTTAGATGAAACCTTAGTGAAGTAAGGAGGACAACCTTTTGGATATCAGAGAATTCTGAGGCCTAAGGTGAAAGCATGCCTGGCATGTTCAAGAAATAGGCAGGAATGTTTTTGCAGCACAGCAAGGAGGGGCATGGCAGGAGAGGCGGGCGGTGGGCTTGTGGGAGGGGTGTCCCAGAGGGAGTGGATCAGGTCTGGCCTGTTGACCCACCGTCAGGGCATGGTGATGTGCCCTGCATGAGCAGCTTCTGCACAGAGGAGTGACTCGCTCTGACAGCTGGGCTCACTCTGGCCCCTGAGTCCGGTAGTCTCCGGGGGCTACTACATATCAGGCTGGGTGGTGTGGCAACAGTGGTCGTGATAAGAAGCCCTGAGATCCAGGCTGCACCTTGAAGGTAGAGAAAAGAGGATTTGCTCCTAGAATGGCTGTGGGTGAGGGTGGGCGAGGGCTGAAGAATGGGAAAAGCTAGGAGCTGAGATGCACCGAGATGGCCCCGAGGGGTTGGTAATAGAATGCTTGTTGAATAGTCCCTTAAGACTTTAATTGTATCAGACTTACAGAGTTAATGTAGCTGTTTTAAAATTTAAAAATGTTTAAATCTTACATGATTAGTAAAGAGAAACATCTCAAACATTTTTGAACGTTTAGACGTTAAAATCAGTTTTAAGAAGTCATATTGATACTGGTTTTTTACTATAAACCTATTTATGTGAGGAGTGGATAAGAGATCTGATTGACAAGGTTTTAAAATTCAGCAAAAAGCCTGTGTGGAAGAAACACATAAGGAGATGAAAAGGATGGAACAGTCAATAGCATGTGGTGGTTTAAGCACACTTTGTGAGATTGCCTTCACTCCCCTCAGCCTGGCCCAGGTGGTCTCAGGGCCTTGTCAGCCTGCAGTCCCATGGCTGCTGCTGCTTCTGTTCCTCCCTCAGCTCCTGCCCATCCTCTCTCTTCAGTCTCCATGGCCCTTTGGCGTCCTCTCTCCTTCCTCTCCTCTCTGCCTCTTCTTGGTGTCCTCCGCCCTTCCTACTCCTTACTCATGCCTCCCAGCCCCTCCCTAGCTGGGACTCTCCTCTCTCCCTTCTTTCATTTCTCTTGTGACCTTTCATTCCCTCTGGAATTTTAAAAATACACAGCCAAGGTCCTCTCTTCCTGCTGAAGAGAAAGCTGCTTTCCTTTCCTGCAGCGCCTGCTTGTATCAGGCACATGTGGATTGTCTCCCCATCACTGCTACAGGATTTGCAGCCGTTAGCTGAGAGGGGAGGCTTGCACATCAGAAAGAGCCCAGCTTTATTTTGAAAAACAAAACATGACTCCAAAGTGGTGAATATTTTGAGTATGGAATAATGATCCTTAACTGCATATATCCATATCTGTTTGAGGTCATTTTTATCATGTTTGCTTCTTGTTTTGAGAAATGTCTTGGCAGTCATCCAGCCCTTGCAGAGCCTAGGGATCAAATGGTTCCCTTATGTGTAGGAAGTGAAGCTTCACTTTGAAAACCTCAGCAGTGAAGAAGAGAGTGACTGAATAATTGAGAGGTTGAAGGAAGCTTCTGATGAATGGATCCAAATCAAATCTTTGAAGAGATTTATGTGGCAACAAGGCAGTCCCCTCTTTACCCTCGCCTGGCTTTGGCTGTGAAAAAACACCTGCTGTGTTCATGTGGCCTCCTTCTGCTGAATTTACCACTTTTCTCACCTCAGGAGTCACAGGAATAAGCAAAACAAATGTGTCCTGGCTAACATAAGTCCATGGGCCTACCTCCCTGCCTTTTTCCTCCCAGTTTTCTGTATACTTGGAACATTTTAGTTATTTTTATTATTGTGTTTGTGTGTGTGTGTGTGTGTGTGTGTGTGTGTGTGTGTGTGTGTGTGTTTTGAGACAGAGTTTCACTCTTGTTGCCCAGGCCGGAGTGCAATCGCATGATCGTGGCTCAGCACAACCTCTGCCTTCCAAGTTCAAGCGATTCTCCTGCCTCAGCCTCCCTAGTAGCTGGGATTACAGGCATATGCCACCATACCTGGCCAATTTTTGTATTTTCAGTAGAGACTAGGTTTCTCCATGTTGGTCAGGCTGGTCTCAAACTCCCAACCTCAGGTGATCCAGCTGCCTCAGCCTCTCAAAGTGCTGGGATTGCAAGTGTGAGCCACTGCACCTGGCTTATCATTACTATTTTTTTTAAGAAATGGGGATCTTGCTATGTTTCCCAGGCTGGACTCAAACTCTTGGGCTCAAGTGATCCTCACACATCAGCCTCTGAGCAGCTGGGATTACAGGCAAGCCACAATGGCTGGCTAGTTATTAAACTTTGTTGCCCCTGGCATATTAATTTGTTCTAACTGCCTAGTGTCTGATATAACTTTACAAGAGTCTTGATGAACGTGTTTCCCTTGGCATTTATATGAAGACTTTGAAGCAGCTGCTCTGTGAGAGGGTTGGTGAAATAAGCACCTGAAGGTATGAGTTCCCTGCTGTGCGGCGGGGAGGATGGGCCCTTGGACCTCCTGGGCCTGGCAGACCTGCTGCTCCATGAAGAAACTAACCTCTCTTATGTCAGTGCAGACCCTACTCGTCCTTCAGGCTCAGCTTGGTTCCCGGCCCATCCCGTGGTTAGTGCTCCCTCTTCACGCTGTGTCTCCTATGCACCTCACTCACTGGCAGTTCATCCTCTGCCTTCTGGTGCTGACTTCTGATCCCCAGCTGTTCGTTCCTTGCGGTCTTATTTCTGAGTTGATTGTCCTCCTAGTTTGTAAACTTATTAAGGTTGAGGACTTAATGATGAAGATAATTTCTCTCCATATGAGGGGCTTGAAGAATCTTGATGACTCTTTGTTCAAGGTAATCCTTTTAAAACATTCTTCACTATAATTGTCTTCGATCCAGCGTTTTAAACTTGTAACAGTTAATAATTATGAATCAGCACATTAAAGAGAAAAACTTTTGCATGCCTCAGAAACCAACCTTTAAAATTTTACCTTTGGATCCTGGTCAACACAGCAAGACCTTGTTTGTTTCTACAAAAAATTAAAAATATAATAAAATGGCTGAACATCATGCTATGTGCCTGTAGTCTCAGCTACTCAAGAGGCTGAGGTTGGAGATTCGCTTGAGTCCAGGAGTTCAAGGCTGCAGTAAGCCGTGATCATGGCACTGCACTCCTGCCTGGGCAACAAAGTGAGACTGTCTCCAAAAAAAAAGTTTTACATTTTACTTTTGGAAAAAGCTCCCACATTAAACTCTTTCTTATCCACCCCCCTCCCCTGCCAATACCCAACCTCTTCTTCCTAGGTCTTTCAGATAATCATAAATTTTGAAGTTCTTAGACCTCAGAATCACACAATGGGAGGCCTTTCATCTCAAACTCTCAGTTTATTTCTCTGACAGTGTTCCTAATTGAAGTTGCTTTGGGGCTGAGATACTTTAAATCTTGAACTGAAGTAAAAATATGCCAATTTATGTCAAATTCTATACCATATACTGCAAATGAATTCTGCTTTTGCTGAGTGGCTGTGAGAAATACCTTGGTAGCTAGCCTGGGTCGTGTCTTTCAGGCTAAGTAAACTTGGTCATATCAGAGAAGCATTTTGGAAGAAATGCTAGGTCAGTTTCTGAAGCTTTAAATACCAAGGGATGGGCAAGGATGATGGAGCCAAAGTAAATAGCTACCTTCTGCCTCTGAGAGTTACATTGATGGTTAACCAATTTCACATATATTATGCTAAAAATACAGTTCCTTTTCAGGAAGTCATTCAGATTGGTAGAATTTAG